ACGAAAGCCTCGCAGCCCCAAATCTTGATGTGGTCTAGTTTAGGTACTTTACCAGTCCACATCTCGTGAGGAGTTTTGGCAACTTTCTTTGTAGGGACTAGATTAAGGATATGGGCGGCAGTCTCTAAGGCATACCCCCAGAATGAGATTGGTAGCGAAGCTCGACTCATCATGGAACGAACCATGTCCAACAAGGTTCGATTACGCCTCTCAGCCACACCATTCAACTGCGGTGTCCTGGGAGGTGTCAATTGTGAGACAATCCCACATTCCTTTAGATAGTCGAGGAACTCTGAACTAAGATACTCACCACCTCGATCGGATCGAAGCATCTTAATGTTCCTGCCCAATTGATTCTCGACTTCCTGTTTAAATTCCTTAAACTTCTCGAAAGTCTCTGACTTATGCTTGATTAAGTAGACATATCCATATCTACTGTAATCATCGGTAAAAGTCAAATAATAACGATTAGCATCTCTTGTGGCATGTTTGAATGGTCCACACACATCCGTGTGTATAAGGTCCAACAAACCTTCACCCCTTTCACACGAGCCTGTGAAGGGTGACTTTGTCATTTTTCCAAGTAAGCATGATTCGCAACTATCATTTGACTTTAGGTCAAACGACTCCAAGACTCCATCCTTTTGGAGTTGGCCTATGCGTTTCTTGCTTATATGTCCAAGACGACAATGCCATAATGATGCTTTATCCAAGTTATTATTATTAGTAGAATCAATACACAAAACATTATTTCCTAAGTTATCTACAATAGATACAGCTTCATACACACCATCACAAGGTAATGCTTTAAAATAAAGTACATTATTAAAGAAAGCATTAATCGAACCAACTTCATTATCAAACGAAAAGGTGAAACCTTGTTTGTACAATGCATGAAAGGAAATAATATTTCTTGCCATTTCTGGCGAATAACAACATTTATTCAAATCTAAATTTAACCCACTACTTAGCGATAAAGTATAAACTCCAATCTTGGTGACAGGTGTAACTTTCCTATTCCCCATGATTAAGTTTATTCTTCCTTGCTCCACATTCTCACTTCTTCCTAGTCCCTGCAAGTCACAACAAATATGAATACCGCAACCTGTATCAAGGACCCAAGATTTCGAATGGGGTGAGTTATTAGAAATGATAGTGTAAATACCTGCATGGTTGGGTTTGACTTTCCCATCCTTTACATCTTGCTGGTACTTTGGGCAGTTCCGCTTCCAATGAGCTTTTTCGTGGCAATAGAAGCATTCAGCCTCTTTTGGGTCAGAAGAAGGAGTAATGAAACCTTTCTTGGTTCCACTTGAAGAAGAGCCATCAAGGGTCCGAGCCTTGGTACCCTTGAAGATCTCTTTCTCTTCCTCCCTCGACTTTGCCCGATTGCCAAGACCGGAGTTGAGTCTGGAGTAGGAGTGATAGCAACCGACTTCCCCTTAAGACCTGTTTCTGCGGTCTTGAGAAGTCCCTGAAGTTTGCTGAGGGTGACCTCTTCCTTGTTCATGTGATATGTCATGCGGAATTGATCATAGCACGATGGTAAGGAGTGCAAAATGATATCTATTGCAAGCTCCTCAGGGAAGTTCACATTGAGCTTCAGCAAACGATCCACATACCTTTGCATTTTCTGCATGTGGCTCGTGACGGACTCTCCGTCCTTCATCATGGTTGTTATCATGGAGCAGATGACTTCGTACCTCTCTTGTCGTGCACTTTGATGGTATCTTTCCATCAAATCTTGGTGCATTTCATAAGGGTAGAAGTCTTCATAAGACTTTTGGAGTTCAGCTGTCATGGTGGCTAACATGATGCAAGCCACCTTGGTTGCATCTCTTTCATGAGTATGAAAGTCAGCGATCTCCTGGGGAGTTGCAGTGGACTCGTCAATTTCCTTAAGCTCCTTGTCAAGGACATATTCTTTGTCCTCGTAGCGGGTAATCATCCTGATGTTTCTGATCCACTTATTGAAGTTGGATCCATCAAAGGTGACTTTCCCACACAGACTCATAAGAGTAAAGGAGCCATTAGGATTCGAGCCAGAAGCATTATTTGAAGACATCTGAAAAGAAGAACAAGTTTAGTTTAGATTTAAGAGAGTCCTTAATAAAACACCCAAATGTAATATTAAGGCTAGGATCCAATCACAATATAATATAACTTAGAAGAGGTATGCCGTAATCTAAGCTATACCATATTTGAAAGGTAGGTGAATGACGATTCACCAATTTCCACCACGAAAACCGAAATATTAAATATTTAGTTTTTATTGGTTTTAGAAATTCCTAGATTCTTTGAGATCCAATGAACTTTTCAAAGGCATGTTTCAATCTCGGGAGTGCCCTCCAGGTTTTGTGACTGGGATGCCGAGGATCACAAAACGAGGTGTGAAGTAACCATGCAAATCACTTGGTACCCTTAAAGTTTATCACTCAATCGATGTGCCGGTAAACCACACACGCTCCACCGATACTATAATAAACCTTAAGTCACCCTTTACCTACCTTGTTAAGTCCAAGTTAGTGTGCCGGTTAACCACACACGCTCCACCAACGACTTAGACAAAGTGTAAAGTGTAATTTCATGGATTAGCACCTTATTCACATTTTTCCTAAAGTAACTAAGATTGGGAATTTAATAAACATTTAGTTACTTTATATATATTCATCATACTTTGAATGAGAATTTATAAGTCCTTGTCTTACCCGTTCGGCTAACGACCCTCCACCAGTCAAGCAAGCGGTGGGTGAGAATATACACCCATTAAGTCACCATTTTATAGGCAACAACCTTATACCCACCTTATAGACCGGCTTCGTGAATGAGGCGTACTAGCGGTAAGACGACTTTATTCTTATACATATATATATATAATTATTAAATTATCATAATATAAGTATAAGGGTTGAATTTTAACTTTTAAAATTCTAGGGGTTGGAACTAAAGTTTTAACTTAACTTTACTTGTTCCAAAACTTGAGGGCAAGTTTTGTAACTTTCAAAACTTTTCATTTCTTGTAACTTATGAGTTTAATAGAGTCATAAAATGAAGACTCTTCATTTTTATAACTCTTGTGTTTTCTTAATGGTTTTAACTCAAGTGTGACTCTTGGTTTTCCATAACTTAAGGATAAGTTATGGACTCCATTAAAACACATTATGATCAAGAATTAAACTACCAAATAGGTTACAAATAATTCCTATGATCATCTAAAACATCATAAGAACAAGAACATGAATATGAACACAATCAAAAATTACATAAAACTTTGTAATTTTGATAACTAGTTGTTGTAAATGAATTAGCAAAGACATTACACCACCAAAAACAAGTTTACATTTACTAAAACAGTTTAGGGTAATGTTTCTAATTCATTTTCCAGCAACTGAATCGAAATTCTGCACTCATTCGACCCTACTCGCCGAGTGCATGAACATGACTCGCCGAGTTGGTTGAAGATACACATGGACTCGACGAGTCCCCCCTATAGACTCGACGAGTCCATTCGCAGACAGCAAATTTTCGATTCTGTTTTCAACTTTTAAGCACAAATAAGAACAAACAAGCCTAGGCTCTGATACCACTGATGGGTTTTGAGCATTCTAACACTTCCTAAGTGTACATGCAACCCTAATAACCTTGGATCTATGTTTGTCTAATTTGTCATGCAAAGTTGAATTCCAAGGTTATATTCCTATCTAGCATACATGGGGAACAATTTTAACATAAAGTATAGATAGAATAACTTACCTTGTTGTTGCTTGTGTTCCTTGAAACCTTGTGAGCCTAGCACCCAAGTGTGATGCCTCAAATGCTTCACACAACACCAAATGCTCTTGGAAGAACTTATGAGAGAATACTCACTTCTTAAATCGGCCAAGCCCTCTCTTGTTCTTGTGTAACCGATTTGGGAGGAGATCATATTCCTTATATAGTGTTGACACATCTAGGGTTAAACCCTAATGTGTCATGACTCTTCATTTCCATGACCCATGGGTTTGTAACTCCCATGGAGCATCCATGGAGCATCCTATGGGTGGAACCCAACTTGATGATCCATGGAGCCTTTTAGCCCACTATACAAGATATGGATGATTTACTTAATCAACCCATATATTTAATTAGTTATCTTTTGATCACTTAATTAATTCTAAATTAATTCTTGATCAAACTAATCAAATAATATTATTATTAATATATTAGAACTTATAATATATTAATAATCTCCAAGCGTTATTTCTCTCATTTAGTCTATCCAATTGCATGGTGCCATGCAACCCAAATGGACCATGCAGGGTCGGGTCAAGTACATACCAGAAATAGTTATGGACTTAGACACCTTATCCAACAGATGGAGCTCGTTCAAGACTCATCTTTCATTTTGATTTATGATTTAGTGTTTATCAAAATTTGACAGAACACACTTGTATAATAATTATATTATTAATGCAATGGATGATGTTGTTGCTTGTTTACTACTTTTCATTGTTGTGATACTGTACATGACGTCCTCCGCCCCAGAATGTTTCCGCCGTTCTTGGTTTTGGGGTGTGACAATGTGTAAGCTGAAAGTAACTATGCATCACTTGAAAAAAAAAATCGTTCGACGAAACCTAGTATTATTACCACTAGAGTTTAGTCTATTATTCGCCGAGACTAATTAATAGTCTAGCTATTATTACTATTATATAAGCGTTAAATAATACTTATATAATCCATAATAATAGCCCAATTACTTATTATATGTTCTTAATAACGTTACTATAATTAAATAAAAGCTATATTAAAAATAGCATAGGCGTAGCTCACTTACAGCGGGTTTTATAGAAAACCAAGTTTTGCTTGGAGCAGCATTCCCGTCCGGAAAATCTCTTCTTCTCGGAGCTGTCGAGCACTCTAAGGCTTCCGCCTCGTGCTAAGGAGGTTCCCTAGGCTTTTCGGGGGGTTTCAGGGCTAGAGAGAGGTTCTAGAGAGAGAGAGAGTAAAAAGAAGAAAGAATGGGAAAGGTGTGAAGAAAATGAGGGTGAGAGAGATTCTATTTATAGGGTGAAATGGCTGAACTTGGTGCCACATGTCACCATCGAGTGGCAAGACTTGGGGAGAAAACAATGGCCAAGATTGTGCCACATCACCCATTTTCGCACAACAGACTTCCGACTTCTAAAACCCGTAACTTTCACATACGACCTTCGTTTTTGACGTTCTTTATATCCACGCGTAGGTAAAAATAATATCTACAACTTTCATTTTGACTCCGTCAGCTAATTCTCGACCGATCTTAAATTTAACAGTACGAGGAGATTATACTGTTAAATGTCCGCGTAAAATTCATAACTTCTACATACGGACTCTGTTTTCATCCGTCTTTTTACCTTTGAGTTCCTATTAATGAGATATTCACTTCTCATTTAGGTCGCGTAGGCCAAAAATTGCTCGATCTAAAATTCGAGTTTCGAGTTGTGCACTGCTAAGCCAAATCTTAGAAAATTCATAACTTCCTCATACGAAGTCAGATTTGGGCGTTCTTTTTATGGACGCTCTCAGGTTAACATATTCTACGACTTTTGTTTAGATTACTAAGGCCAAAAAGTCCTATCGTATATTCACTATTTATGTCTCCCGATGTCGTGTCGGTTTTGCCGTAAAACTTCGACGAACCATAATTTCTTCGTTATAATTCGGATTTTGGCGTTCTTTATATGTACGGAATCTTTAAGACATATTCTACATCTTGGTTAAGATTATTTATTCTAAATAATATTTGGTCGAAAAGTCATTTTCGATCCTTATTATCTCTAAATTGATTAGCCCGGATCTACGGGCGTTACACCTAATGCCAACGAGGTAAGTTTCATGTGAATTTTGTAGTTGTTTACATGAAAAGTTGATTCTAATTTATTTTCAATTGCATGTTACCGTTGTTATTACTAGGAATATTTATGTGAATTTATGAACTATTTCATGTAAAATGGTACAGAAAATCAGAAGAGAATGAGAAGAACTAGATTAACTTGAAATCTTGAATCATGAATAAGAAAGAGAAGAATGACAATCAAATGTTGCTTCTGGAGAGACGTCGTTTGAATTTTCCATAGAATCTATTATTAAAGAGTCACGATGCCTTCTTAGTCACCTTAGAAGTTGGACGCACGCCGGGTACTCCCTCCCACGCTCCATCTTTTGGATCAGTGCATCACATTATTGGGCTTTGAAGAACTTGTTTTGAGAGGGTTTATATCAATGGGCTGCTATTATGTAACGAATATAACAAATATAAAATGGAGACCCTTTGGTACTTGCGGGCCCGGGGCAGTCGCTCACATCTGATAGAAAAACATACAACAACTATGAGCGATATCTTTTACGGTAGTAAAAAATGTTTTGAAAATGTGATCAAGAAGTAGAGAGTCTTATAACAACCCCTCATTTACATTGACACAAATTTAAAATACGAACAATGTGAACGTTATGAAACCGGAAATTGTAGTTGTCCTACTATTCTTGAATGAGCCAACAAAGCACCGTTGATCAAAAATCCTTCTTCAACATTTTAAGGTCGACAAGAATGTGATAATAAAGGGCTTCTATCTTTTCACTTTAAAAAGGATGGTTTAAGTCTAGGAAATTAGGTGTGTTAGATTAAGAATAAATTATATTTGTTGATTAAAAAAAAAAAAGTTATGAGCCTAGGAAATTGGGGGTGGCTGACACATGCCTTTTCTCTGTGATAGGCAATAGAATGTGGATGAGAGAGACAGAAGCATGCTTCGCTCGACACCCACTCTCCCGGCCTAATACCAATTTGTTGCGGAATAATTAGTACATAGATTCGATCCCTATAGGACGGCGATAAGGCTCACGTCTTTTCCCTTTTCCAACTTCCCTTAGCACGTGCGTCACGTGATACTGATAATTTACACCCCAATTTTTTTAGGCTTGTAGATTAACCTGAATGATCTAAAGAAATCTCAGAGAGATCAACAAAGTGACGGGTAAACCCTTCTTCGAAAGCACCAATCACTGCGGCATTCCGATTCTACGCCTCCTCCTAAATTCTGCTATTTATATCGACAACAGGTAGATACTGATCCTGAATTTTAGGTCCTTGTAGCTTTAATGTCTTTTGAATTGAATTACTTCAAAATCGACATGGATTTCTTAGGTCTTATGTAACTTCGATCGGATTTAAGTAAATAGTAGCTGGAAGATAAGTTTCGATTGGTTCTGGAAGATGAATTCATGCACAATTGACTCTTCCCTTTACCTGTTTCTGTGTGAAATCTGAATCTGGATAATCAGATAACCATTTTATCGAAATTAAGGATAGTTAGCTAATTTTACATGCCTTCCTGTAGCAACTCATTGTGTGCTTCACCAAATCTGATTATTTTGAACCTCAAAAATCAAAAAAAGAATCTGAATTTACTGAATACATCTTTTTATTTTCATGAAAATTACACAAGGTGGAGACTATGGATTCAAGCGTATCTGGAAAGAAATCTAGTGAGAACGAAATACCCACTTTCAATATTGAGAATATGCAAAGCAACATGAAGGTGATATACTACAGGTCAGTTTTCTATGCATACTTTGATCTAAAGTAGATTAATATACTACAAATTATAAAATGTAATGGTTGATGTTTGAAAAATGAAAATGTTGATGCAGTCGAACATTCATGTCCATCATTGGTGGAGTGATTGCTGGAATTTTGGGAGTGAATGGGCTCATGGGATTTGTGATTTATTGTCTTGTCATGGCTATTACATCTGTTTGTTTAACAGCCAAGGCTGGTTTTTCAATCCATTCATATTTCGACACCTGGAATAGGGTTCTGCTTGATGGTTTCCTAGGGGGCCTTTTGGTAATTTCTCAAATCTTTCATTCAATACAATCCATATTTCATATCATAATCAGGCATCAATTTCTCTTTTTGCAGTCATTCGTACTGTTCTGGACGTATCCTTGTATATTTGCTCATTCTTCTTCAATTTTTTTGACATATTTGTTGGGTAAATTGCAGGAAATAGCAAAATAGTTGTTGATCTTTTTGTTTGGTTATTCTAATTCACACCATTTATGATTTACCTTGACGTGAAAAAAGATTTGCTTATGATATCGTGCACATCTTCTAAACAATCCCACTTGAAATACAAGAAGCAAGCTGGTTTTCTGGAGTTTACATAAAGAAGAGGTGTTGGAGCTCTCAGATTGAAGGGGTTTTATTTTATAGCTTTTAATTGTTAAAACTTTTATTTCATAGTTTTTGAAACATTATATATGGTTCTAGGATCAAGATTTAATTAATTTCTTGTTATTATCACTGGAAGTACATTGATGTCTTAATGGAATTGATTTGGATTTATAATATTTATATGTGACTTGTACAGTTATCCTCAACATAGGATCTTATGAATAAATTAAACTTTTGAATAATCGAATTTGTAAAATGATTTTATGAAGAGTCATAGATTGGTTCGGAATTTGGCATACGAAAACTAAACCAAAAGAAAAATAAGAGACACAAGTCTAGTTACCAGATTGTAATGTATTTAAATGTTTATGTTTGTAATTTCAAATAGAGTGATCATTTGTTATCACAATTATTTAGAGCTTCTAGAACATCAACAAACGTTAACCATATTTCCAAGTTTTTTATTTTAAAAAAAATGATACACTCATTATTTTATCAAACAAAATCTTACTGTTGACCATTTGTAATATTTGGATTGATGATATATGTTAATATATTTTTATTTGATAAAGCTAATGAAATATGATTCTTTCTAATAAATGAAAATAATTTTGCTACATATCATTTTTTTTTCTTCAATTTGTCAAATGTTAATTTGTAGTTTATATATATATATATATATATATATATATATATATATATATATATATATATATATATATATATATATATATATATATATATATATATATAAATTCCACTTGTCACTTGTCATTTATTTTATTGTTTATTTTTCAAATTCAGTAATATACCATAAATAACTATATTAATTTTAAATTTTAAATTTTAAATTTCAATTTTAAAATTTCAGTTCTCAATTTCAGTTTCTAATAAATTACAGGTTAAACCTTCGTAGTTAATATTTTGTTATAATTAAACTGTTTAGTACACAGGTCTGACAATTAAATACGTAATTTTAATTTATTTTATTTGTTGCATGTTTATTTATTTTTAATTTTTTTCTCATAATTTCTACTATTTCAAATTTTAAATACAAATTCCATTACTTCTTTATATTTAACATTTTCTTTTAACAACCCGTATATTATATGGGTCCTAACCTAATCTTCCTATTCTAATCCTCCCTAATAAATGAAAATAGTTTTACCACATGTCACTCTATCATTAACTTGGACACATGTCATTTTTTTGTATTTTTGAATAAATGTTTTTTCCATGTGTCATTTTTTCATTATTTATCTTTTTTAATTAACACATCATATTTACACCTCAATTAATAATTATCTTATTTAAAACTAACCATTAAATTATAATATTACAACTCATATACTATTAAATATGTTTCCTTTTAAATTCAAATTTTAAATTTTAAATTTTAAATTTCAAATTTCAAATTTATATAAATTTTTGTTTAAACCTTCATATTTAATTTTTTTTTGTTTTATCCAACCCGTATAACATACGGGTCACACAACTAGTAAATGAATATGTTTATATTACCTATTGATAAGTGTCATACTATTAGAATTTCTCATTAATAACTATATGTAACATATCATACCACTTGTCAAATTATTAATTATCAATTTCAAATTTCAAATTTAAATTTTCCACTCTAATTACATTAAATTAATTAATAATTGATTCTCCATTTTAAATTTCAAATTTTAAAATTTTTCATTCTAATTATATTAAATTAATAACATTAAATTAAAAAATAAAATAAAATCAATACAAATTATAAGGTAATATAACTTCACATATTTGTTTAAAACAACAATTATAATTCTATATAACTAAAAAAATATATCTTAAGTAATAATTTATTTAAAATAATTGATTAGTAATTTTGATTTTTTAATATAAAAGTTTAATTAATTTTATAATCGTGGTTTTTACGGGTTATAAACTAGTTGGTTAATAAAAAAACTTAGAATTGGAGTTAATGGAGAGTTAATGGTTGGGCATGTTCTAACTTAAATCATTTCCTATAATTAATTATTTTTAAAACCAATACGAAATCATATATAACTCATCTAATATATTATTATTTAAACATATATAATGTATATGAAAAGAAAAAATAATATAAAATAAAATCAATATATTACAATACAAAATAGTTAAATAACTTATACTAAATGTAAAGTCTATATGATAAAATCATTTATTTTTATCGTACGTATATAATAGTTAGTATTATTATCTGAAATTATATGGTAAAAATCAAAAAATCATGACATTTATTATTGATAATATTTTCTTAAAAAAAACTTCCTTTGGAAGGTTATTACAATAAGATCAATTTTGTTATGTATAACAATCTATTAATAAAATTCTTACACTTCATTTGATCTTTTAAGCATACAATCTCTAAATATTATTAAAAGAGAACCATTAATTTACCAATGAAGCAATCAGGACCATTGATTGGATTTCAATCTTAGATTTTCCATCATTAGATTAGATTGCTGACATCATCTTTTTCAAATAAAATTCAAACACAATTACATTTAATTATAGAATCTTTAATAATTATAGAATCTTTAAATTCAATAATTATATTATCAATTACAACATATTATTCTATTTATATACAAGATATTAGTTTCTCTAATTAATATTGTTCCTAATTTAACTCCCCTTGTGGCTTCAAAATTCAAACTCGTTTAGTTTTTATTTAATTCTTTTTTTTTTTAAAACTGATTAAATAAATATATCAATAATTTGGTCATTAACTTATAAAGTCAATATTATTTATAATTTATCTCCCGGTATATCCCACGTAAAATAAATCAATTTGAGATCATGTTTTTGAATTTAAAACTCATTAATTAAGCAAAACAATTAATTTGAAATTTTGATTCAATATAAATGATATCATTTTTTTTCCAGATGAATAACTGAAAATCTCCAAGATAAATATTTTAAGATCCTATTTTTTGGAAGATAATGATTTCTTTATTGAAAAACAACCTATATATATATATATATATATATATATATATATATATATATATATATATATATATATATATATATATATATATATATACACACACACACGCTTACATTGAAGTTGTTATTCTTACGATTTTAGATTGAGTCGTATGATTTACGATGTTCTTCTTCAACGGTCTTATTCTGTAATTCTTTTTTTACCCCGTTCTCCTTCTTCTTCTACAATTTATTGTATTTACTTTGTTTTTATTACTTGTTATTACTGTATTCCTGTTGAGAGGTCATGAAAAAAAATTAATTAATCTATTTTAAGTATATTAGTTTCAATCATTTAGTTATAGAAACAAAATTATATCCTTTATCTTCATTTTTTTAATATGTTGACCTATGTTTGTCCAGAGAAAGTCATAAAAGTCGTTTTAACATATGATGGCAAAACTCGTGGAACGGACCAAAAGCAAGATGATGAAATTTTTTATTGTTACACTTCAACTTGCATGAACAAATACATATATCTTGTTCTAAGTTTTTCAAAAATTCTTTTATACATATTATTATACTCTTTAGTTAAATTGTTTAATTTTATATTACTGTATTTGTTTATATCAATGGCTTTAGTTTCAAAATCAACATTCAAGTACAAGACTTTACCGGTGTGGTGTTACTTACGTTATTTGATCGTGACACGAAGAAACTTCTGGAAAAAACCACACAAGACTTGCTTCAAAAGTTTAATGAGGTTATCGATATTAACTTCATTTATATAAAACTAATTTTTTTACCTTTTGTCTATCTAATTTTATAACCAATTTTTTAAAATTTTTTTTTAGTAAGGGAATATGAAGATTTATCCATTTGCTTTGAATGTACTTTTTGATAAAAAGTTTGTATTCAAATTCAAATTTCACATTATAGTTTGAATAACAAAATTGATGGTTATGCAATCTTAAAGTTCACTGTTGATAATACAATCATTGTTGAATTGGAAAAAAAATTAACATCGAACAGAAAACATTCTTTTACGAAGAATACTACAAACATATCTAAATATTATTAAAAGAGACACCTTAATTCAGCAATGAAGCAATCAGGACCGTTGATTGCATTTCAATCATATGTTTTCTACCGTTAGATTAGATTGCTGACATCATCTTTTTCAAATACAATTCGAACGCAATTACATTTAATTATAGAATTTTTAAATTCAATAATTACATTATCAATTACAGCATATCATTCTATTTATATATGATATATTAGTTTCTCTAATTAATATTGTTCCTAATTAAACTTCATTGTTTTATAGCTTTTGACTTCAAAATTCAAACCCGTTTAGTTTTTATTTAATTCTGTTTTTTAACTCATTAAATAAGCATATCAACAATTTGGTCATTAACCTATAAAATCTAATCTAATCCTATTAAATTAGCAAAAATATTTAAGAGTCAAAAATAAAGTCAATATTATTTATAATTTATCTCCTGATATATCCCACGTAAAATAAATCAATTTGAAATAATGGTTTGAATTTAAAACTCATAAATTAAGCAAGTCAATTAATTTGAAATTTTGATTCAATATAAACGATATTATTTTTTCCAGATGAATAAACGAAAATCTCCAAGATGATATTTTAGGATCGCATTTTTTTTTGGAAGATAATGATTTCGTTATCGAAAAACAACTTATATATACGATTATATTGAAGTTGTTCTTCTTACGATTTTGGATTGAATTGTATGATTTACAGTGTTCTTCTTCAACGGTCTTATTCTATAACTCTTTTTTCTATGTTCTTTCTTTGCCCTGTTCTCCTTCTTCTTCTACAATTTCTTGTATATTACTTTATTCTTATTCCTGTTCTCCTTCTTCTTCCACATATTAATGTAATATGTATTTAATTTATGTTTCCTGCGTTTAATGCGGGTTATAATCTAGTTATATATATATATATATATATATATATATATATATATATTAAAGATGGGATGAATTTCAACAGTAAATTGTTGAAATTCTATCCATATATGGTCCCTCAATTTTTTTTCCACTTTTTTATTTCTTTAGGGGGTGTTTTGTAACATCTTTCCACCGCTTTCAACGTGGCTTACACTTGATGCTTCAATGGTAATTTCGGTTCCACGTGTCAATTAATCGATACTTCTCTTTCTTTGCTAGACTTCTTTCTTCTCCGTTTCTCCTTCTTTCTGCTCCTTGGTTTCTTTCATTGACATCCCTCTTTCTCTTTGTAAGGTAAATTTTCGACTACGTCCTTCCTATTTTTCCGGTTTTCTGCTCTTATTGGTTTGTTTTTTTTACTTTTTGTTGTCGTTTATCTATATGATGTCCGCTTCCTCCAAGCGGACCCGTTAAGACGGTCCTTCGTCGTCCTCTGGTATTCAAATTGGTCATCGTCGGAAGTACCGGCGTTTGGATGGGCTTTATCTGCTTCCTGATTTTGCTCACCGACTCCATTCATCTCTCGATTCTTCTTCTTTATTTTCAATTCTCGGCTTTTGATTTGTCGAGGTGAAAGAAAGGGCAACGGACAAACAGGTTGCTTTTCTCCCGATTTCTATTTCTAGGGTACGTATTTGTTTCTTCTCCAGTTTTCTACTTGCTCCGACTGCTCCTCCCATTCATCGACCCCACCTCAACATCACCAACGAACTTGATTAGCAACATAGATGAAATCAAACTTCAAAAACATATCTGAATTTCAAGTCGGAGGCGGTCGAAGAAGGTGGTGCGATGGTTGGGGGTTCGTCATTCCACTCTAACCTTATGAAGTTGCGTTTCTTCTACATCCAACTAAAAATAAAGACGGCGTCGAAGTTGAGCTCGACAAGATCCCCAGGTAAAGCATCTTTTCAAGCCTTTATCAATTTTGATTATTTTTCTTTTCTAAATTCCCATAATCGCCTGCATCGGTTTCCATTTAGGGTTTATCATATTAGTTTTAGGTTTGAGATTTGTTGTGTTCTGTTTTGTAGATGAAGATGATAATTTTTGTCTTATGGTAAACTTTGAAGGCTTCTTAATCTCTTGAAGACTTTACATATTTGTTATTAATGTCTTGCAACATAACGAGAACTAATCTATATGAAACTGAGTTTGATCAAATTGTGAGAGTTAACATAGGCAACAATCTACATGAAATTGGAATTACTATTAACAGATCAGGGACCGATGGACAAAATTACTAACTTTTTGTGGATTTGACAATGTTAAAAAGACATGAATGCCCTCAATGCTTAAGATAATTGTTGTGTATACTATGTATTTTCAGGGCACCTGGTGGAATGTCGAAAGCAAAGGGGAAAATCTATTTGTTAGAAGTTCACAAATCCAGATCTCCCGGTAAGAACCCATTTTCGAATGCTGATATCCATTTACCTCACGAACAATTTCCAACTTTATGTAAGTAGTATCTATTATTATTGTGTTTTTCTTACATGAATTCGATGTAGATTAATGAAACTAGAGAAACCATCATCAATCGATCTTTCAGGTTCTTTCTCATTCTATTAATAATTTGGATATCAGGTGTAATGTATTGTTGCAATTTAAAAGGTTTTTTTGGGTTATGATTGTTGTATAAATTAAAATTTTATGTTTTATATTGGTGTGTGCTTCGATGTTCAAATAAATGGAGATCAACATTTAAGTTTTTCATTTCTCCCTGTGGATTCTGATCAGATATGCACATAACTGGTCCGTGTAATTTCTAGGTTATTTGAAAGTGAAATCTAGATAAAAAATTGGATCGAGGGTTACTATGGGGAGACCTTATTATCCATTTACACAGTTTTAGAGGTTATTTCTAATATTCTATCCGCATTAGTAGCCTAGAAGTTGGACTATAGTAGTTTGTTATTTAAACCGCTTCCATTGGTTTGGATCATCGTTGACCTATTCCGATGACAATTTTTCAGTCTGTTAATTTTTTGCAGAATAAGTTATCTCAAGTTACTCTCAAATTTGTTAAATATGTACTGATAAATTACCTTTTCAGGTTCACTTACAATACCACTACTATTCTTTTATTCAGGTTCACATTTGATTTTTCCCCTGTGTTTGGTATTGTTTTCATTCTCGATTGCTTTGGTTTATCTCACATGGTGAGTTACAGTTTGTGTTCTTCTACTCAATGTTTGGTAACTACACTGAATTAGGTTTGCATCAGCTGTGCACAATAATAGATTGCAATCCCCCACCCAAATAATTAGGACATATGGCACGCAATTATGTTATTTATGTGAACAGATGGTATAGAAGAAGAATGAAATGAAATGAGTTTTAAATCTAGTTCTAATTTTCCTAAATTTGTATTTTCTAGAAAGCTTTTTTATTTAAAGTTTGAATTTTTTTTTTTCAAAACATGGATTTCGTTATTTAACTAAAAGTAAATCAAGTTACAGTAAATCAAAGACATCAAAAGATTAAAAAACAACTCGGAATGAGTTTATCCCAAGACTAATAATACATACAATTTACACCCTTGTTCTAGTGGTACAACATGGACATCTAATTAAATGGACTATGACAACCCTATTATCTATATACCAAAAAGTAGACCTTCCATCGTTGCTGGTTTATAGGAAACCAAATATGGATTTTCCGGTTGAGTTAGCATTCAAGGCATCTCAAAACTTACATAGACATAAAACCTACGTTACATGAAAATAAACACATTATATCAATGTTATCCATAAATACAAACCTAAAACCTCTACACACTGACAACAAAAATTACTGTCAAACATATAACCGCTTTGAAATATTCAAAACTGGGATTGCAACATAAATATTATGATCATAGTTACTTTAGAGGGGAATTCTAATAACATAAATAATAAAGTTCCTAAAAGATGTTTAACCTGAATAACTTGGTGCTTTGTAGAATCTTTCCATGTGCTAATCAAGTTATAATTATTACATAAAGGAAATTTTTAAATAACATAATCACTACTTCAACAAATGCATGAGCTTGACAAAAAAAACCATAATTTAAGAACCAAAAAGAGTAACACTGAGAGAAAGTCTTTAGTAGCAAAATATGGAAACTCGTTTTCCTGCTAAATGCTACCGGAAATTTCAAAACCTTTCAACAATGATGAATGAAACTGCAAATCAAATACCCTTCTAATAATTGGAGAAGAGCCTGCAACAGAAAACAAAAACTGAACATGTTTATTGAAGAATAAGAATCAATAAAGTATTAAAATAGAAACCAAATATATGGATGAACAAACCAAACTAAGCTTGAGAAAAATGAAATAGCAAATTTACAATGATATAAATGAGATAATCTTTGATGAAGGGGTTGAAGGTGAAGCAAAATTTGAAGTCTTCGTGTTATGAGAACACCATCTGGACATTGTTTTTTTTTCATTGCCTGTTTTTATATTAATAAAAATCAATTTTTATAGTTTTAGGATCATATTGCCCCTGCATATTGTTTTATATAATAATAAAAAAATCATTTTTTATAGTTTTAGGATCATATTGCCCCTGCACACTGTTTTTATAATAAAAAAATAAATTTTTACGGTTTTAGGACCATATTGCCCCTGCTTTAAATGTGATTCATATTTCATAAAACAAAAAAACAAAAAATAGATACAAGTTTCACAAATTGATCTCAATTCTATAAATTATTTGTGAAAGTTGATGGATATACCTCTCCTGCTCTAACCGTGATGACATGAGGTGTAAAACCAAAACAAGGTGCACCTATCAATCATATAACATAACAAAATACAAATTAATATATTCAAAAGCATCCCAATTTAATACAAGTATCAATAATTGATTTAAACCGAGAAAATAGCTCTTGAAGAAAATTTACAGTTTCAACCCTGTGTTAAGAATATAAACCACTTAAGATAGATGTCCCTTTTCATCTTTTCTTCCAAAAACATCTTGATCACTACAATAAAAAAATTATAATTTATCAAGAACTTAAGCATCATAAAATTATTAAAAACATTGATTTCCCTGTTCTTAAACATCATAACTTATCAAGAACGTAAAAATACACAACAAATTAAGGCCTAAGGGATGTGCTTTCATTTCATGGAGAATAGTTGGATGCAATGCATGAATTAAAAAAAGGGGCAAATAAATCTAGGTTGAATAAAAGGTCAATATTAGAAAAAAGAAAGAATGGTAAAAAAATTCATCTCCCTATTCTTTACATTACAGGTTGGTATTGTTTATAGCTTGGCTGCCAAATTACTACTTGTTCTTAATGGAAAAATACAAATTTTTTACATCTTCAAAGCTGAATTCAATCACCTTTTTTTTTATGGAAATCATCATCTCTTTGTTTGGAGATTCTTATGTGATTAAAGTAGCAGCTTTCTATGAACTTTGTGTGTTTGTTGAAGCTTCTATTGCAAGATTGATGTCCCATGTCTGCAAATCAAAAAAGATACCCATGTCTAAATGTTATGAGTGGTCTGTTCACATACCTTTGTGGTGGTGCTGAGAAAAAAAATCATATTTTGAATCAAAGTGTTGAGATTGAAGAATGAATGATACTTACAAACAAACAAACAATTAAAGAGAGAGAAAGAGATGATCACACTTATTAGAATATTTACCTCCTTCTTTGAGGAATATATCTTCAAATACCTATGAATCTGTTTTTCGTGAGATAGATTCCTCTTGCGTCTTGATCAATTTCTCAGTACATATCCAAGTACACATCCATCAGGTACATAGAAGGGCGAAGGAAGCCACAACTCAAACCCTAAATCAACGATTAAGAGATAAAATAAGAAAAATTGGAGGGTTAAACTTTAAGGTGTAGAAGGGATAGTACTGGAGAGAAGGGAGCAGGTGGTGGTTGTTTAATGGCGGTGAATGTTGTGGTGTCTTCTGTGAATGATGGTGTGATTTCAAAATATGCTAAATGGGTGATGTTGAAAATCGAACATTTCTTCGGGTGGTGCTGAAAATCGAAGATGACAGTCATTGGTATCTAAATTTCAATCCTGGTCCATGAAATAAACACACACAAACACATATAGAATTAGAGACATATAGTGGTGAATGAAGCCCTAAATAATATCGCACAACCTTAAATCGTTAAAGAAAACTCGATAATCAACTTGAAATTGTGAAGAAAAATAATGAAATCATGAATTTATGAAGAAAAAACTTACCTAGCTTGCAGGATATACGACGGATGAGACAAATGTTGATACAGGAACCATATATAGAATAGGAGGGACATGGATTAGGGCTCTTATCAAAGAGTTCGAGAGAAGAGATGGCGAAGGTTTCTTCCATAAGCAATACCTATTAATCAACTGAGATCAGATATGATATATAGAGAGACGGAAGAGAGCCATTAGAGAGACGGAAGAAATTAAAGTGAGCAATTAGAGAGACATAATAGATTTGGAAGAAACGATGATTGATGGTTTTTGATGAAATTAGGGTTTTCTACGTTTAGATATAGGGAGAATGTTACAATCAAATGAGCATGTATAGACGTTTTTATTGTGCTTAACAGGATTGTACATGATGTTATAATATGTATATCTTTTAATTTTCAAGAAATGGGCAATATCCTTAATAATATAGTAAAGATATATATATATATATATATATATATATATATATATATATATATATATATATATATATATATATATATATATATATATATATATATATATATATATATGGGAAAAGTGAATATACCCTTAAGGGTATATAAGCTTAGGTACCCAAACTCACCATACTACGTCGTTTTGTATCGTATAATACATTCTAATTATCAAATGTTCTTATAATTTAACTTCTAACTTGATTTACGTCCAATATTTTTATAATTTACACATTTATCTTCCTCTTATATAATTTTCATTTTCAACTACAATATACACAGCCTAGTACGTGTTTGGCAAAAATATGTGATGTAAGAGATTGATAATAGTGAAATTTTGAATATCTTGAAAGCAAATCAAGTTAGGGTTGAAGTTTAACAATATTATAATGAATATATCAAACAAAACGATGCATTATGATATGTTTGGGTACGTAAGCTTATATACCCTTAAGGGTATATTCACTTTTCCCATATATATATATATATATATATATATATATATATATATATATATATATATGGGAACGTAAGTGAATATACCCTTAAGGATATATATGCTTAGGTACCTAAACTCACCATAATACGTCGTTTTGTTTGATATATTTAGGGTAAATTACACGGATGGTCCCTGTGGTTTGGGGTAACCTGCGCGCCTAGTCCCTGAGCAAGATTTTTAACTCGGATGATCCGTAATGGTAAAATTCATAACCATCCTGGTCCCTCACTTAACATCCCGTCTAATTGCTCCGTTAAAACACCCCACGTGCAAGGCACGCAGGGGTATTTTTGTCTTTTTAATATTCTAGTGTTACCGCCATGTTGTATACGAAGAGGCGATCATTTTTCTCTGTACTCCATCTTTTCATTCAGAAAACCCAGAAAAATTTCAACATTCCGATAAGAAAACCCTAATCGTGATATCTTCTCCTCTAAAACGCAATGGTGCTGTGGCGTATACGTGCAAATATGGAGGAAATCGATGTTGGACGTCGTTACTGTAAGTATTCTCTCACTCTCAATCTTCTATAACTTGGATTTTGTTGAAGCCTTATCTGAAGTGGGCTATTTCACAGGGGGGCATCCGACAATCTTTTCCATTAGGTTATACCATGGTGGAGAGTTCACCAAATTTCCTGGAAGAAAGTACATCAAAGGAAAACAAACGTATATAGACTTACTCGACATGGATACTTTCTCAGTGCATGACATTGATGAAATGATGGAACAGTTAGGTTATGTTGATGAAGGTATACCTTTGTACTATCACTTTAAACGACCTTTTTCAGATTTAGATTTCGGGTTATTTGCTTTGGGTAGTGATCAGGATGTGAGACATCTGGGTACCTTCATTTCCAAGCATAAGTTGATTGAAGTCTATATTGAGCATGGAAAAACCCAATTACATACGTACACAATGTCCCCAAATCAAGCAAAAGTTCAAATAAAGGAAATTATTGAACCTCCATCATGTTCTCGTAGGCTTTTCTTAGATTGGTATGATACTGGGGAGACAAATGTTGTTGGGGATGCTTCTAAAGAGGCTAATGTAATGGACGTCACTGGAGATGACAATATGGACATAACTGATAATGGGGATAATAACAAGAAAGGAAATCCATGCGTTGAAGTTGAAATTGGGGACAAATTTGAGCACACGAATGAAGTTGAATTTAGGGATGGTAACAAGGGTGGAGAAGATCCATGGTCTGAATTTGAAAGTGGGGAGATGTTTGAGGACATAAACGAAGAAGAATTTGGAAGTGGGGACAACTTTGACGATGATAGTGGTTATAAATCTAGTGAGTCCGATGATATAGACTTTTATGTTGACAATGACAACATCTTAGATGATGTAGAAGTTGACATGAATGATTTCAATGATAACATTGATATGGATGCAGAGTGGGTTGGAGGTATGAATGACAATGTGGTACAAGAAGAGAATGAAGTTGGAGAGCTTAATGAAGTACTAAATAACGAGGTACTTTTGTCAGGATCATCTTCGGATGAAGGTCCAGTTGGTCAACGAAAGAAGACCATCAAAGCTATCCAACGAGCTCATGAGAATGATGAAGCAAATGTTGCTGAACCATTTTATATCCTTCAAACCTTTAATACAGCCCAAGAGTTTAAAGAAAGAGTTAAAGTCCATGCTATTGAGACAAGAAGGGAACTTGGTTTTGAAAAAAATGACAAGAATAGGGTAAGAGTTGTGTGTAGGGGGACAATACCAAAACTGGGAAACTTAGACAAAAGTGGGGAAGGTCAACAAGAAGTCAACAATGAAGATGAAGAGAAGTGCCCGTGGAGCCTCTACGCTAGTAAATGGAAACGTGATACAAACTGGATGGTCAAGTCTTACAACAAAGAACATCGTTGTCTCCAAACTCGGAATGTTAAAGCGTGTACTTATAAGTTTCTTGCCAAAAAGATTACAACTCAGGTGGAATCTAACCCAACTATTCCAATTCGTGCTTTACAAGAACAACTGCAACGTGATTACCAAGTGGGACTTTCCAAGATGAAAGTGTTTAGGGCTAGAACTGAAGCTCTCAATCAGGTGCGAGGGGATTATCGAGGTCAGTATGCTCTATTGAGAGACTATGTTCAAGAACTTCAAAAACATAACCCAGACACGACTGTAAAGATTGATGTAGAGCGTGAACCAAATCCAAATTCAGAAACTAGAACTTTCAAGCGCATATACATCTGTCTTGGTCCTTTAAAAAAGGGATTTGCTGCTGGAAGAAGAGACTTTCTTGGTCTCGATGGTGCTTTTATGAAGGGTCCATACCCAGGACAAATACTTTCAGCTGTGGTAACCTTTTTTCATATGAACTACATTTATATTATAAAAAGTTGTATTTTAGGTTATTGATGGTGCTTTAATTGTAAATTTTTTACTTATGTAGGGAATTGATGGTAATAATGGAACATATCCACTGGCTTATGCTGTTGTGGAATCTGAGAGTACCAACTCATGGACTTGGTTTCTAACTTGTCTAGGGGATGATTTGGGTTTAGGAACAAACTCAAATTTTACGTTTATGACAGACAGACAAAAGGTATTAATTCGAATATCAAATTAATACATTATATATGATATACTTTTAATACAATTTTCCATTATATAGGGAGTGTTACCTGCTATACAAAGTTGTTTCCATGCGCTGAGCATCGTTATTGTCTTCGTCATATCCATGAAAACATGAAAGCTAATTGGAGGGCAAAGCAATTCAAAGACTTGCTATGGGATTGTGCAAAAGCATCTACTATTCAACAGTTTCAACGATCAATGGAGGAACTTAGAAAACTTAATAATGATGCGTATGAGTGGCTTAAAAACATTCCTCCTCAACATTGGTCTCGTTCACACTTTACAGGTAGATTTTAATGTTAGATCATTAGTTTGTAGCTGTGCAATATGTGTGAAACTCTAAATAGCTCATACATATTTTAATGATTTATTAGGTAGAGCTCATACAGATGCTATGCTTAACAATATGTGTGAATCTCTAAATAGCAAGATTGTTGAAGGTCGTGATGTACCAATCATTACATGTTTGGAGTACATTAGAGAGTACTTAGTGAAGAAAATTGTAACTGTGCAAAAGGAAATTGATAAAGCTGTAGGTCCCTTGACTCCTACAGCTACCATATGGGTTGAAAAACTGAAGAAAGAGGCTTCACAATTAAGGTCTGTTTTTTGTGGGAATGGGAAATATCAAGTCAGTAAAAATCTTTTGGAACAGTTTGTGGTAGATATGGGCCAACAAACATGTTCATGTAGAAGGTGGGAACTAATAGGGATACCATGTGCACATGCAATAGCATGTATGTGGGAGATGTTGAAGAACAAAGAAATTGATAAGATACCTGAACATTGGGTCCATCGAACGTATTGGTTAGAAACATGGAAGAATATGTATTCTTTTACAATTCACCCAATCAATGGAAGGAACATGTGGGAGAAGTCTACATGCCCTACAACCTTACTCCCTCCAAAACACCATGTGCCCATTGGAAGACCAAAGAAAAAGAGAAGGAGATCTGCCATGGAGGTTGAGGATTTGGTGAAAGGTAACCAATTGTCAAGAGCACAAAAATCAGTGACATGTTCTAAGTGTAACAAAAGTGGGCATAATGCAAGGACTTGCAAGGGACAGAAGGCTGGTGGTTCTCAAAGTTCAAGGAATGTTGGTGGATCACAAACTTCAAAGATTGTTGGTGGTGCTGGTAGTGAAAAAGTGAAGGTTGGAAGTGAAAAAGTGAAGGCTGGTGGATCACAAACTTCAAGGAATGATAGTGGTGCTGGAAGTGCGAAAGTGAAGGATGGAA